GAAATTCTGGATTCCTCATGATAGGACCCCAAAATCTAGCAGCACCACAAGACTGCATGCATCATGTCAGGAACTAAATTTAATGGTTATTAGCTTAACAGTGGCATGCAAGCACGGTGATAAACATGAGGAGCTTGCAGCCATAGAACACATGGTAATAGCTTCAGAAAAGGCCACTGACACAGCTTTTTGTTGTCTGTAACTTCACTGCGTGGGCACTGTTTTCTACTCTGACAAGAAGAGAACATATAACATGGAGAAGGCAGACTTGCTCCTCCATGTCCAAGTTCATATTGCAATTCACTAATTCATATGTGCCTGTATTTACACTGCAAGTCTTAGACTCTCTGGTATCCTGTGATATGTCTAGTGGACTTCATATGTGCACAACATGCACCACAAGTGCTGACTTGAGGTGTCTAGCCTTTTGCTGGAGACTGGAAGGAAAGTAAGTTTAGAAAGATTGAGAGAAAAGAAACATCATGCTGAAATTTAATTAAAAGTCACAGGAGACCTAGTCATACATCTTTTGTTAAAATTAAGTGACAATGGATGACTAAACCTTCAAACTTGCTTTGAAAACTTCAACCAACCTTTAAAAAGTTATTCTCAGGAAGAATTTAAAACATTCTCAGGGAGTGTCAAAACATGCAAAACCTTGGTAAAATGCCAGATGGCCTTCCTAAGTCATCTCGACCTTGACTGGCCTTTGCTTAGGTTCTCATTTCTCCTTGACAGCCATTTGCATGGACATCTGATAAACAAGGGCAGTACACTCCTGAACAAACACGCTGAACTACTTCACGGAACCAACTGAATAGCACACAAGTAAGAAAAAACCATTTCAGCAGCTTGCAAGGCTAAAACCTTAGAGGCAAACAGAGAGCTCTGAACCACGAGCACAGACCTGACTGTTGAGTCCGAAGATCCAGTAATGATCACTCGTTCATCGTACTGGAGGCACAGGACAGAACCCGTGTGTCCGGTGAGAATTCGCTTGCATTCCAATGTATTCTTATCCCAGATCTAAGATAGCAAACATTCAAAACCGGACAGCTCAGTAAGGTTTTAACCTTTCGGTACTTACCGGTTTGACTGGTCTGTTTTTTACTACAACACATCATCCATAGTGCAGTTAGAACATCTTTAATGGCACCTGTAGAGTCTTCTACAGGCTCTTCGGTGCAATACATTAACATCTTTGATATTACTGGCTTTACTATGAATATTAGTTTTACTTCTCTCATCTACATGGCACAGCAAGTACATAGCCTGTCATTCGAGATGGACAAAAACTCCACTAGCAAAGTCTGTCAGAAAACAGGGTCTCATGCCAGATAAGAGAGGCACACACACCGTGCAGGCGTGAAGCGGGAGAAGAAGGCTAGGTTACCAACAAGAGATTGAGTAGGTGCCACTGAAATGAGGACATTATTATTTATGGCATAGCCACCGCATGCCATTAGTATGCCATTTTTGAGCATGCTCACCTTAATAGTATTGTCTCGTAGGCCACTTACTATCTTCTGATCATCATACTGTAAACAATAAACCCCTTTGCTTGTCTCACTTCGGCAGTGGATTCTCTGTAAGCTGTGCCTTCCACATCGCCAGTTTGACTCTATTGTCTTGAGGAGAGATAGGAGACAAAAGAGAAGTAAAAAATAAAGCACCGAACTATCTCCCCTGTTTTTGATTGCTTGAGAAGGCAGCAGATACTTTTCTTCACACTTTTTTCTGCAATCAGGCTCATACAATGACATAACTGCTTTCTAGGAGAAGTAATACATGTCATAAACTCAATTAAACAGACAAAAGCCTGGAAAACATACTGTGGCTAAACTTGTCTGTGTTATCTGGAATGGTGAGGGAGAAGTGACCTAAAACCTTTTTTCTGTCTCCAACCTTTAACCTCCCACGACTCAAGGACTAAACAACTGAAGAGCAAGTCTCACTTGAGCTCTAGCTAAGTGCTTGTACAAACTTGTCACAACAGTGCCTGAGCACCACTCTTACCATTAGGAAACTGCCAGAACAAGGCACTTTGCTCACACTAGATACAAGGCAACCATGCTCAGTTGCTTCCTGTTTCCCTGGGTCTCAGGACTGCAGTCTTTAGCAATGCACCTTCTCCCTGGCTCAGTTCCTGCCATCTCCCTGTAACATCTGATTAGGTCTCATCTGCACTGGGTGGAGCAAAGTACTGTAACGGAGAAAATCAAGACAGTACGGTGCTGCTGTGACATCTGATGTGCAAGGTGTAGAGACTCCATCTGCAAACAGCTCACTGAACAATCCAACTCATCCTCTGTCTAAAGGAGCAGCGAAGGCTGGGACCTCATATAACTATCCCAGATCTACAAATGCCAGACAAACACAGACACATCAGATTTAATGAAATATTTCACCAGAATGAAAGACACTCAGAATTCAGCATCATGAATGAATCAGCGACATTTAAAAAACACCCCATCAAACACCACCACATCTGGAAGCTGTTTCTTACCTCTATGTCCTGTATAATTTTGGGGTAAAGTGCTCTGTAGAAGGAGTTGGGTGGTGCAGTCCCATCAGGAGGTTTATTTTTAAATAGATATTGTCCCCTGGAAGAGAAAGAGCATTCCATTGAACACAAACTATGTTTTAGCATTTTGGAGAAAGGTCCTCCTGGCATTTTACAAATGGGTAACCACTGCTGAAAAGCACTAACAGATTTCATATTCAAACTTAATTTAGTCAGTAAGACAGGGTGGCTCCTTGTTTGTTTGTCCTACAACATGTCAGTGTTGCATATTGACACTGAAATATTCATGAAAAGTCTGTGCCTAATCACTCTGGGAAGGGAAATATATTATCTATTATGGACATAAGCCCATTCAGCTCAACAGGAGGTGAGAATGGCTCATGCCCGCAATACACACACCCATATCAGAGGTCACCTTTAAAATAACGTGTACAAAGAAAACAAGAGAAGCCAAGGAACACTCAAGCTCACAACGCATTGAAGACTAGCTTTTATCTGCATTAGCAGGAGCAGTACCAGGTTTGGTACATGGACATTTAACTGCTACTACTGTATTTTGGTAAGCAACACTTCATCTGTGGTGTCTCCCTCATTTCAAAACTGATTTGGAATACTCATATCCCAAGCTAGATTTTTGCTACCAAAAAAATCCGTAAACGGCAATCACTACCTGCTGTGTAAAAAACTTTAATTCCTCATCCTGAAGTTAAGAAGCCACCAAACACGGTGTGGAAGCTAGTAAACCCCACCATGGGCGTACTAACTGCTGTTCTGCCTGGCAACATGCCTCACAAAATGGAGAGAGGCACAAATGCCTCCGAGTGTAATCCTGGCATCAGAGGCACAGAGTTTACGCTGGGCCAGCCTCCGCTTCTCCCTCCCTTGCTTGATTATGGCATAATTAATTGTTCAGCCCTTCCTTGCACACATCTTTCTTGTCCTTTCCATACAGTGTACCTTGAAACTCATTTGAGAGACTGTACATTAGCTGCTCGAATGTGCTTGAACTAGGGAAATCACAACAAGAACTGAAATTTTTAGGTCGTAAGGCAGTAGAGAACTATAGGACTGAACAAACAAAATAACAAATGCTCAAGAAAGAACTTTTGATAATTCTTTACATAAAGTACTTTCAGAATGACTTGAGTGAAGGGTGTTTTCCACTTTGGACAGAGCAATCATCTGAGTCTTCAAATACAGTGACCAGCAGCCACTCATATGGGGACAAAGACACATGAAGAAGGGACACACGGATGCAGGCAAATCACTATCTAGATGGTTGCACATTTACTGTGATCCAGTCTGGAAGTGTATTCAAGAAAATTAGAATTGTTGACCCAGGGAGACAAAAAATGCCTTGGAGATACACAGAATACCTAGGACACATCGTGGAAGACTTGGGGTAGGTCTACAACAGTCTGTATACAGGCCTATGTGCCGGAAAATGCATCTATTGTTTGCAACTTTACTAGCTGACCTAATACAAGGTCTTGTTGCTACCCATAAGGTCTGCCTTGCTGCATGTACAGTTGTTTACAGTTCAGCTAAAGGATTGCTTGGAATTTCCACAGCATCCCAGCGGGTGTTGTGCTGTGGCTCTGGGATAAAAGGAACTATTGTTTGCAGGTTTTGATGACTGGCCAATTCAATCAAGTATTCAGATGGACACATCGTGCCCAGATTTTGGGCTTCTGTTTTGTATTTCTCTAAATCTGTGTAACCCTTACTGCTTCCTGACAAGCTGTCAGAGAATGCAACCATGCTGGGTAGAACCTGGGAGTTTCTGTTGTAAACCACAAGCTGCAAACGCTGAAATCAGGCAGCCCATGTGTAAAGTGAGGAGCTGTAAGCAAACACCAGTTATCCATCATTCTTAACTGTCCAGTTAGCCACCTCCTTGTGCCATGCACAGCGTTAGCATTGATTACAAGCTATAAAGCTCTATATGGCAGAGATGCAATTATATTGGATATTTCTTGTCTGCCTCTCTTAACCACCCCATCACACCTGCAGTTGTATCTTCTAGAGCTAATCAGAGGGGCAATCTGAAAGACAGAGCACAACTTGCTCCTGTTGTGCCAAAGCAACCTCCAGGACACAGTGTAAACCTGAACAGGAGGTGTAATAACAGGGTGTGACTGTCCTTTGAGATGAGAAGCTGGATTTTGCAACTGGTTTTTAGAAAAGTCACGTGTCTGTATGGCCAGTAACTGGTGCTAATGTTATTTCTAAAATCTGGGGGGAGCAACTTGAGAACTATCAGCTATGATCTCTGTCAAGATGTAGAGAATGGTAAAGTTTCACAGAACAGGAGAAAGACAAATGTAGCTCTTGCATTTTAAAAAAGGGAAGCAGGTCCACCAAGGAAACGGTGGGCTGTCCAACTCAACTTTGACAGCTTAGCAGTTCTAAAGCACACAGTCAACCAGATGAGTGCCTAGAAGACAGCAAGATGACAAACAACAGGCAACACTGATCAATCCAGAATACATCCTATCAAACTGACCTAATTTCTTTTCATGAGCTATTCTCATGACTTAGCAAGAGAAGTATGACCTTGGAAGAGCTCAAGGGTGGACACACAAATGGCTGGAAAGCACAGTTTACCAATGGTGCACTGTCAAACAGGATGGTAAGTGGGATCCAGCATGGACTCTGTCCTAGCGGTGTCATTATTGAGCATTTTCATTAACAACAAAGAATGGAACAGGGAGAGTGCATTTATTACCTGGCCAATGATACTAAAGCTGAGAGAAGCTACAAGCACTTTGGAGGACAAGATTAAACTCAATGCTCCTGACATAACGGAGAAATACCAAAATAAATAGAATCTAATTCAATACAGACAAGTGCAAATTTTACCACTGAGTAACAACATAAGCATGCAAGATGAGGAATAATGGCTAAGTAGCACTCCCACAGAAAGGGTAATTAATTTTATAACAGTATTATACCATTGTTAAAAAAAAAAAAGGCACATGTTCTACTGAAAAGTATAAAATGGAGTGTCCTCCATAAGTCATGCAAAGCAATGCTTCTCATACCACCAAACTCTAGTGACACCTCGGCAGAAGTAAGACAACCAGCTGATTACACCATCCTCCAAGAATGGAGTAGACTAATTGGGGAGGGTCTAAACAGAGAAAACCAAGAATGACAAGAGGACAAGAGAACACAGGATTACGGTTGGTTAGTGCATTCAAAATGTAAGAAACATGATCACCTTCCAACATGGAAAAGATTACTGCAAAAAGAAGAAAGAGATTGTGTGTTGGTGTAGGCTAAATATAACATGCCGAACTGTAGCTAGGAAGACAGCCTAAATTTTAGGAAAATCTTTCTAACGCTAAAGTTAATGAAACAGCAGAATTCCTTGCCCAGGCAAGGCCTGGGGAATCTCCATCAGTGGAAGTTTTTAAAAGCAATTTAGACAAACATCTGGGATGACTTAAGAGAAACCTGGCTCTGCCTCTGGGAAACAGGAGGGTCTAAATAGCCTCTCAAAGCCCTCTTTGGACTTACTGTAACCTCAACAATACAGAGCAAAAATAGCAGTCCTGGAGAGAACGAGACACTAAAAGGAACGTAAAAGTTACCACTGCCATGCTTGTGTTTATTTTACACTCTTTATAACCATTACACTATTGGAAGCAGATCAAAATAGTATTTATTTTTAAAGGATGTTTCACAATCCTGATTTACTTGCCTTTACTTCCTGAGACAAACAGTATAACAAAATTAACCATAAAACAGGAGTCTTTGTTTGCAACTCTGTATCTTTTTCTTTTTAATAGCAACCAAAATGCCTGAGCTGTCACTTTTATCTTGTTTATGAAATATTCATACCCAGCTTCCTTTCTGCCAACATCCTAGGGACACCCTTGGAAAAGAAAATTATGTATTAAAGGATGTACCCCTGAGAGGGAAAGTTCTAATGAAATGTTAACAGAGCAGCTTCAAACTTGAGTGAGACCCACATAGTAGTAAGGCTATTCCAGATGATTATTAACTAATCTATCTGCATTTCTAAAGTCCCCTATTCTCCGTGGTACCTACCCTCAGCTTCCAGTTTGAAAATTAAACAGATATCTAATAGTGAAAATCTGCTGAGGAAAACAAACAGACCTATCAGGAAACAACTAATTCATAGCACATGCTGCCCCACTGCCACCCCTAAAAAAGCTCTTCTGCTCTGAACTGCTGACTAGTTTAGTGTTCCCCTGGGGCATACACAGCTTCTTAATTTGAACCGAATGACAGCTGGGCGTAAAAATCTCAGTCTGTATATCTCACTTGTCACAGTGGGATAAGAGCATGATCAGATGAAGAAGGTGAAGAAAAAGCCCCCACATTGCCCGCATAGCCAAACAGTGCCCTAACTCCCCAACCCCTGAATTTTGATTTAAGCAACTGTCAGGTTTGGAACCAACATGATGTTTCAGGGTGCTAAATAACCCGCTTCAATCACGGTTTGAAACACACAGCACCTACTGTCCTGAATGGGGACAAAACAAGTGAAGATGCAGTTTCCTCACCATCCTCTCCTCTCTGACAACCCCCTCCACAGGGAGTCTGTCCTGACCATTCTCTCGATGAGCTTCTTCCACAGCATGCCATCTGACGTCACCCGGTACCACTCCTTGCACACCAGCTCAGCAGCACACAACGATTTGGCATCCAGGTATGACAGAATGTTCTCAGCAATATGATCCAATCCCCGAGCTGGGGGAGACAAAAAAAATTTAAAAAAAGTATTATTTGCTGGGGAGGCATGGAGTTTAAAACATCTCCCCTTGCTACTACAAAGATACCCTCTCTTTCCATCTCCTCTCCTGCATGCAGAGGTGGATCAAATGCACAGAAGAGCATTTGCGGCTAAGTTCAGGAGTGAACAGCATTCTCCAACTTCCTTTGGATATAACACAACAAGTCATTAAAAATAATAAAGAATCCAAGAAGTCATTCCAATCTATTTCGATGGGTTTTAGCACTAGGGGGATATTCTATGGACGGCATTTCCAACTCAGCGACGCAGCCCCCAAAATCTCTCTATATTAGGACCATTTCTCATCTCACTGCTACAGCTGTTCTCATGTTCCAACGGCTCAAAAGCTGTTTTTGCTAAAGCAGTAGCTTTTAAACGTAATGAAGAAAAAAATATATATTCCCAATGCGTGCCCTGAAGGGTAGTGGTACCTTTAGACATGGGGGAGGGAAAGATATGCAGATGCACAAAGAAGTTGAGAGGGAAGGAGAGGCTGTATAAGGAGAAAGTGAAGCAGGTTTGCTAGTTTCATTTATTTTAGTGGGTGGAGGAAAAACATGCACCAATATGGTATAATTTGCAAATATTTTCCAGTGTGAATACCAGGACTGGCTTTGTTTCAACATGGCTGGAGTGAAATGTAAAGCAACTGCCCGGTTAGCACCAAGCAGCCCGATGTAACGTCTGCATAGCTTGGGGCCAGGGAAGGTTATGCTACATTTCTTAACTGGATGGATGTATTCAGTACAAATGTGTCCTTACCCACTCAAATTTAATCACCAGCAAGACTTCAAGAAAATAAAATGCCTTTTAAATGAGATGTTGTATAAATACAGCTTTTCTTGAAGGCTGTTTTAATTCAAAAGTGAGACGCACCGTCAAGAGATTATCTCACTTCACAGGTCAAATTTCAGAGGCTTTGTGAAAGTTGTAGTTTAGACCCCATCATCCCTCAGGCGTAATGTTCAGACCAACCAAAGAGGAAGCGTGGCAGATTGGTATTACATGCATCTTCCCTCTGGTTCACATTTGGGACAGAGTCAAATACATCTTTTCTTGCTTTTAAAACAACAGCCTCAAAGACCAGGCCCTGCTTGTGACAGGGCAAGAAAAAGCAGCAAGTGCATTTTTACAGTCACATGTCTGTATGTCTGCAAACCCAAACTGGGTGCAATCAGCTGATTCTGATTAGAGTTCATGGCACACAAAAGGCTCAACTTCTGTTTTCGTCAACCGAAAGATCTCAAAAATTATCTCCCAATGAACAAAAATGAGAAATTCAGCATGCCTCCTCTCACTTTTTTCAAACATCCTAAATTCATAATACACTTTGGGTGAGACATTCTGCCCAGCGTTTTATGCTTCCATTCATATGTAGAAAAAGCATGTGAATGATACCATGCGCAACCAGAGAGTGCAGAAAGAGGTCTGACATTTCTTATCTTTATAGATGCAAAATTAGATGTCAACCTGCAAAATAAAAGCATCAGCAGCCTTTATTATGTATTCAATCTGAAAAGATATATACAATCACTACATAAAATTCTTTAAAAAAAGAGGAGCGTTTGTAAATTTAGATTGACACTATAGCAATTCGCATAAAGACTGATTCAGTGTTTTAGTGAATGTGAATTGGAATTCCGCAATTTGGTAGGGCAGACGTGGACATCGTGTACCCCTGCTTCCTCAACCTGACACCTGCAGCCCTGAGCACTCTCCACTGGGTGGAAAAGGCATATTTGCTTTTCCAGTCTGTGTTGCTTCCAATGGGCCCACAGACATTTAAAGACCCACCAGGACGTTTACAAATGCCTGCCCGTGTAGTACCTGTACTGGTGGCTTTATGACAGCAGTGTCAAGCAGGAAATTATTTTATATGGGGAACAACCGACGGCTTTAGGAAGCAGGGCTACATGGCATAACTGGGCATAGTAACCTTCACCCACAAGTATGCCGCTGATCCATCTGCCCTTTCTGGATCATCAGTAGCTGCACTTCAGATCTTGCTGCAATGAGGTGTTGTAACTACTTCCATGTCTGTAAGTCATCCTTTGCCATTGATCCTAGACCCTTCGCAGAGAAGGAATACCAATGTTTTGGCCTCTCCTCCTCACGTTTACGATGAGTGGATAGGCAGAGCTATTTTGGCCTGGCTGCAAACTCAATTTTATTATTTTGTTTCTTAGGAACAGCACAACTCACTGAGATATATATCTAACAACGCATTGCTTCCTTAAAAAAGAGAAATCTCTGCTCACAAAAGTTTTTGCTAAATCAATGTGAAACACGACTGGCCCTTCAGCCTCCATATCAACAAGAATGTTTCAGTTATTTCACACATGAAACCCTTATAAAAATGACCTTCCTCATAAAAAATGTTAAACAGCTTGGAAATGCTAAGCAGAGACCTTGTTTTTCAGAAGCAGAACAAAGTTTGTTAAGTACACAGCTAAGCTGTATTTTTCAAATAACCTTAATTCTCTTCGAAGTACTGGGAAAACAATCTGAGCCAATTTTACTCCATAGTAGCAAAACATGCCCATGATCTAAAACTACCTTTAATTCTGGTCATTCTTTGGGACAGTGCTAGGAGGACAGAGATAAGATGCCTCATGATTTTGAAGTAGCTTTATTGTTTTATTTACTCAAGGGGGAGAGCTGGGGAGAGAATGAAGGAATAAAAATGAAATCAGAATACTGAACATTTGAGAATTTCAGAAAGCTAAAAAATACTTGAAGATTTTAGTGGGTTTTTTTTATTATGCGACACAATTTAAAATTTTAGGTCCATCATTCTTTCCTAGGCAGTTTCTTACCTTCCCCTTTCCCATTCCCCTCATTAGAAAGCTGCCTATACTCAGGACATCCTGCACAGACTGCAGAGTCTGCGCTAGTGTAATTTCTTGCCATTAATTTTCTCCCTTAGACCTATACTCACTAGGACATTAGCACTTTGCAAATATGCAAATCGATGCACATATATTATTTAAGCACACAGTTCCCACAACTATTCACATACTCACACCTTAGCTGCCTGATTCCTATCTGTTCTGCATTCTGAGGTAGTAAAATTAGCTGCTTCCTGGCCAACTGTGAAAAGACCACCAACAAATATGGTATGGCTAGGAAATTATGAATGCCACTGAAAACTTTTATAACATTTGCCCAAAATTTTCAGAAAAAGGCCTGTCGGACGAAATTAAGCAAGTGCAAATGTGTTGGCTTGCTTTGATGGAGTTTTGTGGAAAAAGACCTGGAAAAATTGTGTATGTAACTATATGTATAATTCCACTTTAAAAGTGGGGAAACCAATGCACTTTCAAAACTCTCCATTTTTTTGGAACAGAACAGCTCCACAAGTTATAATGCTGCTCTAAGTACATGAGATTATTACCACTGGACTACTAAAAACTAACATAAAGCAGGTACTTAGCATAACTAAGATTTTTTTTTCTAATGCTGAAACAGCCATTTGATTACTGGGCACAATGAGCTTAAAAATCCAGTGAGTCTACATATTTAACTTCATAGCAACACTCCTGCAGTGCCTTTATGCTTTGTACAATTCATAGTTAAACACTTTTTTTTAACGCTAGAACTTAAATTTCATGTTGAGAAATCCCTTCTGAAGGATGATCAAATGACTGGATTGAACAAATTGTTGGAGTTCAGCAGTTCTTCAGAGGTATGCACAGAACAAGACTTTGGCAAGAAACTCCTCTCTTCAACCAGCTATTTAGAGACAACACCTGTAGCGCTCCTTGCTCAGGTCCATCTCAAACTAAGGACCTATGCCATGGAAATGCTGATCTATTGACTATCTATCTACAGATGTACAAGCTAATGGTCTGAAAAAAAGATTACAGAGCCAGGAATTTCTGTCTGGTTCTGAAACTCTATTGCTGTATATATTTTATCTTCCACTGCCTCAGTTTTAACATCTATAAGACCAGGCCAACACAAAACTGCACGTACACTACTTTATGTGTGCATTCTGTGAGATACACCCAGTGCCACATCTGAGAACAGCTGGGTTAATATTCTCGATGGAAAGCACTACGGAGGTAAAAAAAGAAAAAAAAAAAAGAACATTTCCATCCCTTGATCTTACGTCCTCCATTCTCTATTAGCAATAAACACATAATCAAAGCAATGGCTTCAGGAAGGTATTTTACTAGGAAAGAGAGACAAAAAAAAATTAAGTAAGAAAAGGGAAAACCTCAGCTGAGCAACCAGAAAGAGTAGTAGTTTTAATTTTAAAAAATTTCGTTATTCATGCATTGTTGTGGGCATTATGAGTAAAACTACCTGGCTTGTGGTTTGCAACGACTATCCCTGTGATACATATATGAACTATCATTTACTCCTGGCCAAACCATG